TGAGTTATATTATTTTGGAATTAGTAGAAAATGTATTTATTTGTAATGCCCAGGGCGATCTGCTCCTTGACATGTGCCTCCGACCTGTTATCTACCGACCTGTTATCTACCGACATGTTATCGGGAAATTTGACTCAATGCGAGTTGTAGTCGAGGCTGTTGATATTTAATCAATCAGTTGTGTGCAGGGAGCCGATGCTGTAGGCGGCGAAGCGCCTCGTGAGAAATAAGAAAAAAATATGCCTTGTTATAAATATGGCGGACTCTGTAAATATTATATCATAACATATAATATTGGTATTCACATCTATATCTATAAAGTCTTCGGCTCCAATTCCATTTTCAATAAAATTATTGACACCAAGTCAATCGCCATTGTGGGCAACGATGTTGATTAGCGTGGGTTACTGCAGAACGCGGAAGATCCGACCACTCGAAGATTTGGAAGTCGAATTTTCGTAAGCAATCTATACAGATGCACGGCGAACTCTCGTCTGTGGGTTTATCGTTGCAGATCGAAGTATATGAGTGTAGGCAAGTTTTCAGAGCAAACCAAAAAATTCATTCGCAAACTTGTCAGTTGGCTATTCAATCTAATAGAATAATATATCGGAAATTAAAATACACTTTACTTTATGATAAAAGGTGTTAAATGATTGTAAGATGGAGACATATTAACTAATTATATGTTAATTTGATATTATTCCTTATTGACGCATTTTAAAAACAATTAATGGTCCTCTAATCATTCTCAGTCACTTCTATAGTTTTATCAAGTTCCAAATGTTATGTTGTAGTTCTTCATTGGCCGCTATCCCGTTTTTTTAATGGCCGCTATCCCGTTTCTGATTTCAGTTTTCGCTGATTAATTCAGTCTCCTGTGAAAGTGTTTACCTACAAATGAATACAAGGTAAAATTCGATCACACGATTATTGAAAAATCTTTATTTATGTCTTAGATAAATATTAGTGAAAAGTTAAATTGGTCATCGTCGGTTGTTAGCCATTGTCATCTTCGGTTGGCAGCCATGTCTGCCGGTTGGCAGGGATTCGATTTCAATTTACACGGTGGAACAGAAGTATAAAGGGTCTCGATCTTTGCTGTGAATTCTGGCATTGATACCTTCGTCGGTGCTGCGTCATATCCTAATCAACTGTGAATGAGTCGGTTCTATTGTGACATCACCCACATGTGCCTCAAGTTAGTGATGTTTCGAGTACTTGAAATGATTAAATTGTCTGATGTCAGTAATTAAAATTCGTTAGCCTGTTACTCTTGTGAGATTGAAATCGAATCGCTGCATTTGACATGCAAAGACAGCCAAGTTTAGAAAAATTGTTCATACCTACTGCCACTCGTGGAAGCAGGTGTGGATAATCTTTGCATACTTACCAAGAAATGCGGATTGAAGGATTTGAAGCTCTGTCATCTGTGTTTATTGCCAATTCTTCGTCTGGAATTTAGAGGGGCACTATATGAACACTAACAAATTTCATATTCGATATTGTTACCTATTGACGGAAGTGAAATTTTTCTTCTTAATCTAGCTGATACTTTTTGACAAATTAAGTGATTGAACAGGATTGATGTTGAAACCATCATAACTTCAATTTAAGACACTCACTCAGGAATATGTTTTGAGCTGTGAATCATTTTCAGAGATTTGAAACAAAATTTCTTATCTGCTTTCATTTGCTGTCGTGTAGATATCTTGCCTAACTTGATAATTTTACTGTCCCCTTGGATTTTTCTTCATTAATAGGTAAATTATGGGTTAATATAATCTTATTTTTGTTGATGGATGAGAGACATGATTGTTTGATTGCTTAAATGACTGAACAAATTAAGTCAATGATCAAATGATATGCCATTTATTGAGTGATAACTTTGGCAGATACTACAAGCAATAGGATTTCAGATTTAACAAAAATACTTGCGTTAAGTACTGCCAGATTGCTAATTGACAAGGAATGACTGTGGGGTAGCAAAATAGTACCAAATACCGGTAGCTGTTTTCCAATTCTGCTTAGAAAAAATAGTAACCCAAATTTCATATGACCTCATTTCAAATATATTATTGTATATATTCCACTACTTAATATTATATAGTAATATAATGATTCTACAACCTCTTTTAATTAAGTGACATCAAATTCCATTATTAATTGAAAAATAACTTTTGTGCTGGTTACCAATAATCATAAGTAGGTGTGAACAGGAATTGGCTGACATTAAATATTAATCTGACATTAAATCTCTAAATATATCAAATCATACCAAGTTTCTTGAGAAGTTTAGACTAATAACTATTTTTCTTCATGTAGAAAGTTTACATCATGCCAAGTGCTAATCAAATATCAATAAATCTAATGAAGTGTTGCACTACCATGCTGAGGCCAAATCTTTATATATGCTCTCCACACAACTGCAAAAATATTCTACTAAAGCATGTGAGTAAATTTTACCTTTTTGTTTACTTGTTGAGGATAATTTTTATTTCAAAGTTAAGGTGCATGTTAGATATTTGTTCTCATATATGATGGTATTGCTGAAAAATATGTATATATTGCTTTGAATATTGCTTTCATTTCAGTTGCATTAGAATGCAAGTAAAGTCTAGATGACAGGAATATTAGTAAAACATTGATCTTTTCTGATCTCCTATTTGTTATTACAGCCCCTCAGGGGGGACTTCTGACGCGTGTCTGTGCTCGTCAGAAGTCCTATGGGATCTCGCATTCCTAGGGGGATTCTTCCTGAGCGCCCCACCGCTGAGCTCGCGGTTTCTGACAGCAGGTCTCAGTTGTGGGGTTAAGTTATTATGTAGGTAGGATACCTTACATTAAGTTATAATGTAGGTAGGATTCCTTACATTAAGTTATTATATAGGTAGAATTCCTTACATTAAGTTATTATGTAGGTAGGATTCCTTACATTTCCCTTCTCTGTCTCTCTCGTGCGGGCTGCCGACGTCCCTTGTAAGCGACCTCTTGTTCGAGTGTCTTAGTTTCTGTTGCTTTTCACCTGTCCCTCCTTAATTGTCACTTCTTCTCTTTGAGATGCTAACGATGCTTCTTTCAAGCCAGCTTCAGCGGGCTGGACACTTGAAACCTTCCACCCCTTGTGGGTGATGAACAATTTTGGATTTGAGAATCTTTTGATAACTGTGACCTTCCACCGCGTTGGTGATATCATGTTGACTTCCGGTGCGAGATAGCTAAATAGCTGAAGCGCTATTAAACATTTGGCCTCTAAATTAACTAACTAACTTGTTATTACAGCTGTTTTTGCGGTTCGAGATGGTTGCTCCAACCTCGACACTATTGATGGAACTGCTCAGCCATTCCTATCCGTCTTGACTTTAACTCCTTCAGGAGAAGCCGGACCTAAGAAATACCTTGGCAAGCAGTAAGTTAATTGTGAAGAAGTTTACTTCGGATCCATTAATTCATAAAACATTTTATGCAACTGTAACGTTTGCTCACGTGTCATTGTATATTATAGATCGAAATAATTTCTTTATTTTCCGCCTTTCATTCTGAAGAACTTCAGCAGGCTAGGTGTCGACATTGTAACTTTATTTCGGGCACAAAACATCTCCCTAGTGTGCGAGTTGTATAGTAAGGTTCGTTTAACGTTATGGTAGAATTCATTTATTTTGCATGACTGATATGAGCCGAATTGTGTTGAACATCATAGTAGCAGTACTGAAAAAAGTTGACTGGGAATTCACAGCGACCCTATTAAAGTTTTCAGCTGAAATTCAGTCATTCGCTTTCAGGCCCGTTTACACTAGGGGCAACACACGGGCGTCAATCGCTTCATGTAGGCAACGAAGCTATTGGCAAGCTAGCGATTCGCAGTCGCCCTGCCTCATGCAACACAAGCGCTACACTGAGTACACTCAGTCAGTAGACGACTGTCTGTGGTCTAGCGAAGTTGTCTGCATACGCTAGTCCCTAACAACAATATGTCAACTAACGCTACACCCGTTTTGACTCTCTTTCTAGTAGAGTGGCTGATTGAACTTTATCGAGACCATGAATACTTATAGAGACCATGAATACCTATAGAGACCATGAATGCCTATAGAGACCATGAATGCCTATAGAGACCATGAGTGCCTATAGAGACCATGAATGCCTATAGAGACCATGAATGACGGCAGGGCACGGCAGGGCACGGCAGAGCACGGAAGGGCACGGCAGGGCACGGCAGAGCACGGCAGAGCATGGCAGGGCACGGCAGGGCACGGAAGGGCACGGGAGGGCACGGCAGAGCATGGCAGGGCACGGCAGAGCACGGCAGGGCACGGCAGAGCATGGCAGGGAAAGGCAGGGCACGGAAGGGCAAGGCAGCGCACGGCAGGGCATGGAAGGGCAAGGCAGCGCACGGCAGGGCACGGCAGAGCACGGCAGGGCACGACATGGCATGACACGGCACGACCCGGCACGACTCGGCATGACATGGCATCACACGGCATGATACAGCATGACATGACGTTAATTGTGAGAGATTCACAAGGGGAACACGTGCTGATTTTTCCATGCTTATCCTTCTGTGATGCGGCGGCATACCAGCCTTGTTTACTTCTCGTCTATTGAGATTCTATCATTCTGGTATTTGCGCACCGATATGATACTGAAAGTTATAATAAAATATATAACAGGGCAATCGCCCACATGTGTCGCTACAGGTATTTAAGCAAGTGTCTCGTCCAGCCGCTGCATTAAAAGTCACCAGTCGAGAAGATGGGATCTTTGGTAGGCGTCTTACCGGCCCTCGTGGCCGCGATATCTTGCTTCACGGCGCTGGCCATCGCTGAGGACCTTTGGATGTGCTAGTGAGGGATTAAGGGATTAAGGCTAGCAAGTGTAATCGCACAAATGAATATCATTCAAAAAAATTGTTTTACACTATTTGTGTCTCAGAATTAAGTAACTTACAAAATTTACTATATATCATTCTACTAATGAAATTTACTATACCACCCCAGACGTCCCCATCCAGCGGTACCTCAACGCCTACAACAACACTGACCCTAACGGCCCCTACTACGAGTTCTGGACTACTCCCCCGACCTGAGGGATCAGGGCATGGATGACTCCATTAAAGTCATCTGCGGCTCTGGCATGTGAGTGAACGTTTTTCAACGACAAATTCGAGTTTCGGTGAAATATCATGTACAAATCGAAAACGGTGAAGGAATATTAGGATGGTGTTGACAGAAGTTCATGTGACTATCTTTCCAAGACTATAAAATTTATCATCAAGTTGAGTGTCACGTTCGTTCTCTAATCTCCAGTGTCACCTCTGAGTCATAGTAACTGCATGCATGTAACTCATTTTTTGATCGTGAAACGCAACTGAAAATAAGATCAGGGGTGATTATTTACTTCTATTCGTGATAAGATTTGAAAACTTACCCCCGTCTGATTCGCCTGATGTTTTGACTAGCAAATATTATTTGCTATTATATAATTAATACTTCTCTCTAAAGATATTGCTTCTCTTCGGTGTGCATTTAAACCCTCATAAACTTGCTGCATCTTCCTTTCAGATGGTTGTTGTATGATGGTACTACTACGCTGCAGAGAAAGAAGTTCCTGCTTTATTCATCAATGGCAACGGGTGCCACAACTATGCGTATTCCTATTACTATGTAAGCAAACAGAAGGGTTTATAACTCGAATGCATTTAATAAATGGGAATACAAAAAACACTGAGTGTATGTATCACATTGGATGTATTAACATTTACTTCTATTTCCTGGCAGGATAAGATATCTTCTCTGCGGTACGCGGGCAGTCCCGACGGTGTGGACGACGACTACTACAACCTCTACCAGGGAGGCGGCTTCACGAGCAATGAATTCAAAGGCAACACAAACGCCCCGGACGTCGCCTACTTGGATATGAAGGTGTCCTCCTTGATTACAAGTGGAAAATCGCCATGGACTTTCTTCACGTACGTCTTGTGTGATAATTCAACCCAAATATCTGAGGGACGAGTATATGCTTTGGTTTAGTTTTGCGTCTTTTACGATATGGTGGAAATTAGTTTACGCATCTGATGATAAGCGTAGTAAGCAATCAGGTACTTCACAAGAAAGTAAATGCTTCTAAAAACGAGAGCAGCAGTGCACTGTAGATACGATTAAGCGAGTACGTTGATAATAACAGATTACAGCCCTGTTTAGGTAGCAGAGGTACGGGAATATTGATGCTAGCAGATGGGTACTTAGAAGTAAGGATCTGTGCCACATGATGTGAGGATACGTGCTTCACATAAAGTGAAGAAACGTTTCTCGTACAGCGTGGATTCGAGCCTGATGAAGGTTAATGCTGTCATTGGTGCGCAGGGGCCAGAACTACACCGGGGAGGCCGTGTGCGTGTATCCTTGGGTCGACAGCGGCGTTAATTACTTTACAGCTGCATCAGTAAGGAATCAAAAAAAATTTACGTGTCCTTTTTGTCTGTCCTATTGAGAGTTTTTCTCCTGTTGCTAGCGAGCGTATCGTGATGGTCATTACAGCAATAAAATATTAATTGTGTGTGTAAAAAAAATTGGCATAATGATCGTAATACAAAAGGTATCACTGTAACAATATCCAAATGCATTGATTTGATATTGTTTCATTTATGTTGTTCATTTGCATTTGAGCGCCTAATGAACCGTGACCGAGTGCTCTGTATAAAATTTCAAATAATCTATTTTTTTGATTTATTACATTGTATAAATAAAAATTTATACATTGTTGTATAAATGTGACATGGACAGCGCCATGTTCCGAAATTGAAGGCTTTTTCTTTTATGTACGCTAACTTGAGAATGCTGCTTCACTCACTGAGGCAAGTTTAGCTGACCTCTCAAAGCCCTGCAGGTCAACATCTCGCCATGACAGGATATATGGGCGAGCAGAGAAACATAACTAGCGAACATCAACGAAGTGCTCATTACTTTCTAGCGCAGCCAAAGCTGTTGATTTTTTTTCGGTATTTCTTAGCTCTAATCATATTCATAGCGCACATATCAATGTTCATCCTGCATTTTTTACTTTCCCAAGATGTCATACTACTTGGGCTTAGCGGACAACTCGATCAGGTCGGTGGCCATGGGCTGCCTTTCCGACAACATCCATGGTGGGCATCCACTGACTGCATGAAGTCGAAGACGTCCTGCCTTGATAACTAAATGAATATATATACTATATTGCCTTGATAACTAAATAAATATATGTTTCCAAACATCACAGACGTTTCTCATCCATATTTTGGAATCGCAATCACGTAACAAAAAAATGTTGCCTACATAATACACTTGTCAATAACTTGATAATTATATCAAATTACTGATATTGATATCAGTTTATAATGCGAATAAAACGTTTTCATAATTTTAAAATTAACAAAAAAGTATGAATTGGTCTTATTCAGTTGCACATGAGTAAGATTTTATTGTAACAAATAAATTTTTAAAATGAATTTTAAATCATTTAATCTATTTTGTAATTAGTGTTTGCTGAGCTGAAAGATTTATCTAAATACCAACAATTCTAAGGAAACTTGTTAAAATAGTGACCATGCAGTGACCAAAGACTTTATGAGATGCCTTGGATATTGGGCTAAGATATTGAACATTTCTATAAAACCGTTAGAGGAAACATGCTATGCACATTTGCACAGGCCTGTCACTGACAGCCTAATGGGCAGTTTTCAAACTTCTTTTCTTAAAATACCTGATAAATTACAGAATCAATGGTAATAAATCCAATTATGATTGAATTATCCAAAGGCCATGACTGGGAACCCCAAAAAGTTTAACTTTATGTGTATTTAAGGTGTATTCAGCAGGATGGAATTCTATTTCTAGTGATTAAGGTTCATCTATCCACGATCAATCCAGCTCCAGCCTGACAACTTGCTCAGTTCCACAATTATACAATACGAGCCAATTTCAACATAAACAATATTATTTCATGCATTTTTTACATAGAATATTTAGTGGATATGGAGTTTCTGAAATGCCTCTCAATAGAAATGGGCATTTCAATTTCTCAATAGGCATTTCAGAAATATAGTTTCTGAAATGCCTCTCAAGTTACAGCAAACACTTTCTGAACAAATTTTTCTAAAATTAATCATGCATTAAAAAGCGGTTCAATGTTAACTAATAAATTAGATTATTAGACACATCATGCATCGAACTCACCTTAATTTTCTCAGATCTCTTGCCGTATTCTGTTTAACAAACTAATAACAGTACTATGAAATGCGTATGAATGCAGTAGCTCTATGTAAACATCGATAGATGATATAAGTAACAATTTATATTCAATAGGTGTGGATGTCAAAGCCTAAGTTTAGGTTTGGGCACCAACGTACACACACACGATCGAGTTCGATTGCAGAGTCGTTCATAGTACGAGCAACCGAAACATGGTCGTAAGTAGCAGGTGGACCCTCGTTTAAAATCAACCTAGAAGTGTCACGTTAATTATCGCCGATGGTTGCATTGCGGCCAATCCGTCTGCTCTCGGTCCACGAGCCGAGATTTGGGAAAAACGGCCAGTCTGCAGCTTTGCCCTCATAGTCGCTTTCCAGGCCGATGAACACGCGCGCCGCCAAGATTTTTGATTAGGTAGAGCCCGACAAGCTCACATAGAAAGGCGAGAGATAGGCATAGGGAAAAATAGCAGAAGCATGTCCACACAGAAAAGCCGCGATGTAGGCAGGAGAAAGGCACTGGAAAAATAGCAAATATATGTATTTTTTGTATTGTTTGTAGAGGATTGGCTACCCAAGAGACCAGCTGCCTTTCGCCCCGCTTGTTTTTTCTTCAGAAAACCCCACGCCAAGTGAGGCTGGTTTCGTTATTATTCGTGTGTTTTATAGTTTTCATTTGGTTTTATGTAATTAACTTGGATGCATTTCAATTGTACTAGATATCACAACCCTCAGATACTGTGCAAGCGCACATTGTAGGATTTCGGTTTCGTACAGATTACTGTACAAGACACTACGCAGTACTAGGCAAGCCCAGGTGTACCTGAGTAATTATCTTTGTTTACGGCTTGCGTCTGGTGCGACAGCACGGTGCCCGCACTGTTGGTGAGGATTAATTAATTTATACTCTGAATATTTCCTCTGAAATAATGACAAATAAATTTTCGTTGTATGTATAGTTATGCATATTTTCTTCTGTATTGTTTACAGAAAACGTTGTGGAATGTCGAATAAATGGAATAAATTACGATAAATGTTTGGCATCCTCGACGCGTATATTATGCAGTACGGCAGTCGAGACGATAGACGACGATAATCAGCGCTACGGCTGTGATCGTCTTTATACTGTCTGTTTTGCATGGTAGTCTTGTTTCGTATCTTGAGTACCATCATAACATCTTTTTCTTGTTTATCAATGATTTTTACTGTGTTCAGATCTTTAAGGACAATGACGCTATTTCATTATTCAACAGGCACATGTGATTTTTCCATTTTTTTTATATTAGGTTATTGTTACTCATAAGAAGTTAACTAAGATATCTAGATCTTCGTTTTTTTTGTGATTGGTTTTCAGAATTTCGACGTCACCAAGAACTCGCGCAGGTTCTTATACCGTCTGTATAAGATGGTTGGCGGTATCGGGAAGAGTGATCGAAGACCCTCACCTCCTTCGATCCGGTGCCAATGCTTCAGCTCAGGCTCGCCTCAGGTCGCTTGTTGTTGTTTGTGAGTTATATTTTGTAGTATGTAAAGAAGAGGTTGCATCGTTGTGATCTTTCTGATTTTTTTTTGGTTTTCCGCTTTGGGCATCTCTGAGTTGCTCCAAGAAAAGTGCTTTGCTGTAGCTTCTTTGTCTGCGGTGTTTGTAGAAAATAAGGGTAGTTTTCATAAAGTCCGGAACATTAGTGCTATTCCGTTTGTGCCCTAGTATTTTGCCCTTCTCAAAGTCTTTCAAACCAAATGAGGGATGAGCACTTGAGGCCTCAATATACTGGAACGTTTCTGCAGGTTTGAAATAAGTTTTGGTGTCCAATATTCCGTTCTTATGGAAAATTTCCTCTCTGTATGTACTGTGAGGTCGAGAAAGTTGAGCTGCTGTGTGCTGATTTCCATCGTAAATTTTAATGATTCGTGTATCATGTTAATTTTTTATAGGAAACTTTTGAGATAATCCTCACCTGTTTCGCCCAAAATGAAAACGTCATCTCTGTATCTCCGATACATAATAGTTTTGGGAATTTGGTCAACAAAGTTTCCCTCCAAAGAGTGTAGGTGTATATGAGCAATATCGGGTGAGGGCAAAGCCACTCTCTTTCTAATAGAAAACTCCATCTAATTCCAGTAAGATGGTTTAAAAAATCAGCTCTAGGATTTCCCCGAAGTCCATCGTATTGATCATTTTAATTTTATACGGGAAAACACTACCATCGTAGACATTCCCGATTAACGTCGATTGCGTCTCTTAATGGGATGTTAGCGTACATGGACACAATGTCCATTGGTACTAGGAGCACGTTTGGGCCCAATTTTAGCGTTTTCAATATATTTAGCAGTTAATGACTGTCTCTCAAATATGTATTTTGATTTTTTACGATTGGCAACAGAAAGTAATCCGCAAATTCACTAAATTTTTCATAAGGTCCACCACAAGCTAGTGTTATAGGTCTGCCCACATACTTTTCACCATTTTGTATTTTTTTTGTATTTTCGCAGCATACGACCCGTATTTTTGGTTGGAGACCTCAGTCATTCCCGTTTCTGTTTTAGGAAATTTAGTGTTACTGTTTCATTTTAACGTTGAATGCTTCAATTTCAACGTTGAATACATTAATTCAATTCGAGCTAAGAATTTGGCGTTAATAATAATGAGGATGAATAGTCACAGTTTTGCAGTGATCTTTGAATATAAGACGGAGAAAGGTAAGCCCGTTTTTTCAATGATCGTAGACACGGCACATCTGAACCGCACACTTCAGTAACTAGCCCAGTAACTGTAAGGAGGAAGAATTCCGCCAGTCGCCATCAAATTAGCCAATATTTGCACGGAAATTTTGTATAAATTATAAAACTTACTAAACTATAAATATGTTGAATTATTCACGGTCGGAATAGTTTATTTTGTAGCACGGAACCCAATCTCATCAGAGGGAAATGAAAAGCTAGTTTATTAAAAAATGAATAAATAAATTCCCGTTCAAAATAAGATGTTAAAATATGTTTTTACTGATACCGAGCCAACATTTCTTCAGTAATAAGATGTAAATGGATTTCAACGAGCCCGTTAGGGAAAAATTGATTTATTATTTGCTTTGTTCCAAACTTATACAGTAGTTTTTATCATAAGGCTTTCAAAAATTATCCAAGATTGTGACCCAAATGGTGCATATTGATGAATTTCAACAGCTGTCTAGCGTTATTTGAATTTGCTTGTTCTATCGCTTTCTACTCAAAGTTCATGAACTAATTAATTTTAAATATAAATATACTGACGTCTGTATTTATTTATTTAATGTCTTATCACTGTACTATTAAGGAAACGGATTTATCAGTCACAGACTTGTCATGATAACCAATGTAGATAAGGATCCACTTACTAATTTAGACTATTCAATTACTTGGCTAGTTTTGAATTTGGGTGATTCAGCCAGCCGTCGACCGATGTATCGTCAGACAATTCATTTAACCGTCAAGTTACCAGGTTATATGATTTAATTGAAAGATAATGTATCATCAATTTGCCTTCATTAGCAACTGTTAATTTCAGCAAGGCATTGGTTAGACGTTTCTACAGACAAAATTAGTTGATGCCTGAATACTTCACGCTGAAAAAAATATGACAGTTCAAAATATATTGCACAAGAATGCGGAAACTAATTTAGATTGGCGCAAAATGACTTACTTAAAAAATGTTAATGCTTAAGTTTAAATTATATTATAAGGTTGTGCTCTAATTCACTTTTAATCCTAACCGTAAAAAACATAATTTCGTGCAAGAATGCGGTGAATTATGTACAATTATATGTTTGAATCTGGAGCAATTATATGGCTCTTATTTTCCAACAAAGCAATTTGACCGAACTGATGCAGTCGCGGCTGCATTTGACGGCAATGTGAACCATGCGCTACAGGGGACTATATACTAACTTTCCCGGACGCCGTGAGAGTGAAACAATCATCAAAGTTACACAAGAATTAGTGATAGGAG